GGTCCTCTGAGGTCGGGAGTTTGGGCGTTATTATCTCCCTGTGCGGCTGGGCTGGTCCTCTGAGGTCGGGAGTTTGGGCGTTATTATCTCCCTGTGGGCTGGGCTGGTCCCTCTGAGGTCGTGAGGAGTTTGGGCGTTATTATCTCCCTGTGGGGCTGGGCTGGTCCTCTGAGGTCGGGAGTTTGGGTGTTATTATCTCCCTGTGGGGCTGGGCAGGTCCTCTGAGGTCGGGAGTTTGGGCGTTATTATCTCCCTGTGGGGCTGGGCCGGTCCTCTGAGGTCGTGAGCTTGGGCGTTATTATCTCCCCTGTGGGCTGGGCTGGTCCTCTGAGGTCGTGAGTTTGGGCGTTATTATCTCCCTGTGGGGCTGGGCTGGTCCTCTGAGGTCGGGAGTTTGGGCGTTATTATCTCCCTGTGGGGCTGGGCCGGTCCTCTGAGGTCGGGAGTTTGGGCGTTATTATCTCCCTGTGCGGCTGGGCTGGTCCTCTGAGGTCGGGAGTTTGGGCGTTATTATCTCCCTGTGCGGCTGGGCTGGTCCTCTGAGGTCGGGAGTTTGGGCGTTATTATCTCCCTGTGAGGCTGGGCTGGTCCTCTGAGGGGAGTTTGGGCGTTATTATCTCCCTGTGCGGCTGGGCTGGTCCTCTGAGGTCGGGAGTTTGGGCGTTATTATCTCCCTGTGAGGCTGGGCTGGTCCTCTGAGGTCGGGAGTTTGGGCGTTATTATCTCCCTGTGAGGCTGGGCTGGTCCTCTGAGGTCGGGAGTTTGGGCGTTATTATCTCCCTGTGAGGCTGGGCTGGTCCTCTGAGGTCGGGAGTTTGGGCGTTATTATCTCCCTGTGGGGCTGGGCTGGTCCTCTGAGGTCGGGAGTTTGGGCGTTATTATCTCCCTGTGAGGCTGGGCTGGTCCTCTGAGGTCGGGAGTTTGGGCGTTGGCTATCTCCCTGTGGGCTGGGCTGGTCCTCTGAGGTCGGGAGTTTGGGCGTTATTATCTCCCTGTGAGGCTGGGCTGGTCCTCTGAGGTCGGGAGTTTGGGCGTTATTATCTCCCTGTGAGGCTGGGCTGGTCCTCTGAGGTCGGGAGTTTGGGCGTTATTATCTCCCTGTGGGGCTGGGCTGGTCCTCTGAGGTCGGGAGTTTGGGCGTTATTATCTCCCTGTGAGGCTGGGCTGGTCCTCTGAGGTCGGGAGCTTGGGCGTTATTATCTCCCTGTGCGGCTGGGCTGGTCCTCTGAGGTCGGGAGTTTGGGCGTTATTATCTCCCTGTGAGGCTGGGCTGGTCCTCTGAGGTCGGGAGTTTGGGCGTTATTATCTCCCTGTGGGCTGGGCTGGTCCTCTGAGGTCGGGAGTTTGGGCGTTATTATCTCCCTGTGCGGCTGGGCTGGTCCTCTGAGGTCGGGAGCTTGGGTGATATGTTCTCCCTGCCACCCCCGGGCAGACGGAAGTCTGGCTGATTGATATAATTTCTTTTAGATATACTGACATAGTTCACTTTTCAGAAGAAAGTTGGCAAGAGGCCTGTACATTGCATGATGCTCCGTGGGAGCCAGCAGCTGCGTGGCTGTCAATGTACCTAGCCCTGTGTCTTCTCTGAGTGTTTGCCTGGTGGTGTCAATACGCTGGCAATCCAGTATAATGTGAGGGACAGTAGCTTTGGTGTAGCCATTCTTTCCCACAGAGGTTACTTGTCATATCTTCCTACGAACCTCTGTTCTAATACGGCCATATTTCCCGGTTCTCGTAAAAATCCCCTAGCGGCAAAAAGATCGCAACACGAATTATCTCCCTTCTTTCTATCCAATCAGAACACGTGTTACATCGACTTAGATTCAACTTGACTAACACAAGCAAATGTGGGGCCACAAATATCCCCCATCTGCCGGGGACTTGTGTTGATGTTACACACAAGATGTTTAATGGCTAGCTTGTCCGTTGTCAACGAGGGCGATGGAGACGCCACTGATCCGCCATAACATGACTGAGTTCTGTCTAGAAGAAACGTTTGCGCATCGCGCAGGGGAAGAAGTTTAGTTTTCTCGAAGCATACGGAAATTACCGAGGCCTTGCGAATGATCACTTTTGAAACAACTAAATCTGATTGCACAACTAAATCTGATTGCCGAACGAGTCTTGAACGCTCACACCATGACAGGGCCGTATTAGAACAGAGGTTATGTAGGAAGATATGACAGGAGTAACCTCTGTGGGAAGAGAATGTGGTGTGGCATGTTTGACAGTTTTTGTAAGAGGTTTTGTGATACCTAGCCTAAGGCGGGTGATCATGATGTCGACTCGCCTGTTTTGTGAGGGAGTGGTTCGCTTCCCTTTCACATTGGGGCGGAGTCCATGATACCATCTGCCTTTGTCTGAGGTGTCCCATTGCCTCTGCCACTTGCTAGTAATTGAACTTTGGATCATGCTACGAATTTCGCTTTTTGAGTAAGGATGGTCCAGTGACACGTCAAATTCTAGCGCTTGTCTAGCTAATTTGTCAGCTCTCTCATTACCGGGGATGTCTATGTGAGATGGTATCCAACACAGCGTGATCTCTTTCTCATTTTCCCTTCTTAGTGTCTGAATGAGAACCAAAATGTCCCGGATGGTGTCAGGTCTACTACTCGAATGCTTAGTTGCCAGTGACTGCAGTGCACTGAGAGAGTCAGAGAGGATGACCACTCTTTTCTCTCTAAGGTTTCGACTGTACCTTAATGCATGGTGTATGGCTTCTAGCTCCGCTGTGTAGACTGACTGTCCGTTGGGAAGGCGGACCAAGATTGTTTGGTTTGTAGAGGCTGTGTATATCTGATACCACAGGCGGTTCTATTTCTCACAGGATCCTTGGATCCGTCGGTATATATGTGAGCCGAGTCTTCGTAAAGTGAGTCAATCCTACCAAGCGCAATGCTTCGTAGCCACATTGGGTTTTCACGTTTAGGCACGATTCCCTACCTAGGGTAGGCTTATATAACTGACATCGTGCCACGTGACTGGGGAAATCCCGAATTCGGCCAATGCGCACACTCCTTGCATCTCTGCCCCTCAAGATGGTGGAGCATGCAAGAAGCGTGACATCATCCTGTCTCCCCAGCCACGAGGTCCGCATGGGCCAAAGCTTCTACACATAGGACTACAAAAGGTAGGTACTACGTCGGCCGCCCACCCAACTACCTAACCTAACTCACCCGCTATGAAACTACTGTAAACGTATTATATTTAGCATACTTATGCCGCGAGATGCCCACATTCCCCCACCCCTTTAAAGTCAAAAGTTACCCTTTGCTAAATCTAATCTCCTAGAAATCCCCCAAAATATATAAAAATATTAAAAAAATTAAATAAATATAGCACTGAACAAAAGAACAAAACAAGTAAGTAACAATTAACAAGAAAAAAATGCGATTTAAATGCGGTGTAATCAGTCACTGGGAACTCCTGCATCGACCTTCTGATCCTCAGCCTCTTTGAGCTTCATGGCTCAGATGTCTCCGGGGCATGGCTGCTCTGGCCTGAGCCGCCTGGTCCTGAGCTAACCGGCGGGAAGCTGGCAGAGGATCCCCTCCGAGAGAGGAGACATATCCCCGGGTCCCGAAACTGCCAGTTCCTTAGTTGTATCACTGTCACGCTGCCAGGAGAAGTAAGGGTCTTAGCATGTTCTTCAGCACTCTTCTTCCTCTGGAACACCTTGAAGCATGTGGTGCACTAGTAGTATACCAGGCTCAACCAGGACCTGCCTGAGCTAAGCCCCCATGTGACGTCACAGGTCAAGGGGCAACCGAAAGTGACGTCATAACAACATAACGGATGTGCCGTCATTACCGGAAGTGACATGAATTCTGGATAAGATATGGTTAGGGTAGTCCACACTTATTGAGTCGGTCTGTCTGCCGCATATGAGTGCTTTCACACTGTCAAAGTTGATATGCTGGCTTGCAGGATAGTTGAGTGTGAACCCCTAACCTTTGCTACACACTGTCCTTGTGCCGTTTTTTAGGTCGTGTCAGTTTGTAGGCATAGTTCTTTGGGTCACCTGACACGAAAGTTGATATGCTGTTGCCATACAGTTCATCTGGCAGGTCTCCCAAAGTCTCCTAACGACGGATTCCAAGCATCAGGCTTGTGGACGTAAATGATGCTGTCCGTGTCAAAATACAGCACCCTCCGTTCAAGCGGCGTCAAGTATTTGTGAAAAAACATTAAGATATATTGTAAATACTTTTATTAGATATTCATATAATGTCTCAAATTTTCCATATTGAAGTTATTTACTTAAGTTCTAACTTTGCTATTGAATCTAATACCTTACCTGTATAAATTGAGCCGTGCTTGTGCTGTAACCCAGGCGGCGATGACGACATCGGAGGCAGGATGCGATGAGTCGAAATCTGTCCTTGGTTCCGTGGAGACGAACAGCATATTTTCGTTGACGATGAGGACATATTTGACTTCATGCCACTGGTCTCTCCACATGGCAAAGAAAGCGGAACGTTCTGTGATATAGCTGAAATTTTCCAAACACTATCTCTGTCCAAACTTGCCTGATTTTTCCCTGATTTTCCTGACCCTTCTTTCTGGAAAATCTTCTCTACATAATTTTGAGTATCAGTACACCCATCAGGGAGGCCGCTAGCTTCTTGTTTTATTTTGAAGAAGTTATCCACATAGTTTCCAAAGAGACCTCCTTGATGGGTATTTCTACAGTATTGGGAAAACCTATCAAAATGCCAGGCTTCGAATATGTGTAGAACCCTGTATCCACACTCGCGTACTGCTGTCTGCACCTCAATGGTTGTGTATGTTCCCACCCATGCACGTTCCTCATCCGTATGACAACAACCCCCATCAAACTGGCCTATCTACACATGTTCTGCATAGAGGGAATATGAGTTTCCCTCCAGCTCTGTAATACGGCAATAAGGGATGGTACAGTTGTGAGGGAGGAAGAGTGCGACACTGGATGAGTACGTCCTTCTAGCTGATTCAATAGGAAACGGAATTTAAACAATCATTTGTTACCTTGGCTTACGTTCAGTTCACAAAGACCAGGTAAGTAACATATTTCTACTCTACTTTCTACAATGTTTTCATTGACTATAAGTATGCAGTGATATAAGCAACAGGTCACATTCCAAAATACTACGAATTATGTCAAGTCCACAGATCGGGTCGAACTACAAAGAAATAAGAATGTTCTTTGCTTATCATTAAGTATTCATTCATTGAGTTCTCAAGAAACAGGCAACATTTTCCCTCTGGACAAATCTATGATGTAAGGTACTAACATTCAAGTCTCTCCAGGAACTGTAAATAACTGATTTTGGAAAAAACAACAACATTGGTCTGACACTGTCAGGAACGCCCTACTACAAAAGGCATCGAGTACCTGTTTACATGTCGATGTCTGGTGGGCTGCCACTTGCTGGGGTGCAGGTGAAGCTGTTGGGTCTGGGGTCAACACAAACATTGCAGACTACGTTTGGGTTAAAATTCTTGCCTGAACATAGGACTGTGTGAAGCGGCATGGTACACGTGTAAAATAAACTACGACATATAGTTGTCCCTCTTTAGGCTCTGACCCGTGATGATCCATGTTAGAATTGGTCTTCACCAACCCACGTTTGTCGTTCGTAACAGGCGACTAACGGGATCGGGTGGTCAGACTCACTGACTTGGTTGACACATGTCATCATATCGAAAGTGCGCATATCGACGCTCGTGATGTGGATCACTGTATTGTTTGGTCTAGACTCGATTACTTACAAACTGTGATATTGCTTATTACAGAGACAACAAACCAATAAAACACATCTTTAGCCTCAGCCCATAATTCTGATATGTTTGTCCACAGCAAATTGCTGACCAGGAAGGTTTGCTTGGAAAGTGCCGGTTGTTCAGTAGATTCATGCAAATGAGTGAACAACTTTAGTTCATTGTCTACATGGACATTCAGTTTGAATACCAACGTCTACGGGCGAAATGAGATGTGTGTGGAGACCTGTTTATTCAAATCCCAATATCTCAGAATATAATATGAAGACACAATTTCAGTTTTACTATGATTCATCTGCAGATTTACTGAAGGAAGTGTTGCAGAAAACAGAAAACTCCCCCATTGACGAACAACAACCACGGGGAGGTGAAGGACGCCACCGTCGTGTGATCCGGAAAAAGTTTGTTTTCATATTTGATTTTTCATCTTTAACCAGCAGTATTTTTGTAGGCCAACACAGCAACATACATATATATATATATATAGTAGATGGTCTCTTCAGTTCAGAAAATTCTATGATACAGTCTTGGCAATTGCCTATAATAGATATTTGTGATATTTCCTATAGCGAAGAATTGTTTACTGCATAAGGATAGCGAAGCTTGGTTTCATCAACTTTGGAATGATGTTGGTCAGTGTAATGGTGATAAGCTGCGGACATACCGCTTGTTTTAGGTCAGTGTAATGGTGATAAGCTGCGAACATACCGCTTGTTTAGGTCAGTGTAATGGTGATAAGCTGCGGACATACCGCTTGTTTAGGTCAGTGTAATGGTAATAAGCTGCGGACATACCGCTTGTTTAGGTCAGTGTAATGATGATAAGCTGCGGACATACCGCTTGTTTAGGTGACATACCGCTTGTTTAGGTCAGTGTAATGGTGATAAGCTGCGGACATACCGATTGTTTAAACATACGTTATATACTGAAGCCTATGTTCCTGCTTCCCGTGAGCGTTCACAACCCAGTACATTCAGTAAAACTACGCTGTGGCACCCTTCCCTACAAATAGAGCTTAGGTAGGTTTCCCGGCCTAAAGTGCCTCTCCAACAAAGAATTTGTAAATTTTGTAACAGTAATAACACTGAGGATGAGGCCTATTTTCTCACTGTCCGTAATTTCTTCACTGATTTGAGGTATGAGTTTTGGAAATATGTATCATCTGCTCATCCTTTCTGTTTACTTCTCAGTCCGGCTGTTATTGTCTAACAGTACGCTGGGTGTTGTCTGTTTCACCTGAAATATTATATATATTTTATGATATGTTTTATCATGACATTTATGCTGTGTATTTGTATGAGCACGTGACACCGAACTATATTTTTTTTCTTCTTCTTCTATAAAATGTATATCTTTGTATATCTTGGGTCACCCCTTACGACCGATTAGCCTTGTGTAAATTACTCCCCTCATCATTTCACCAGCACAGCATACAAACCACTGTAGATCCAACATGGTTTAACCAGAGGTCCTTACAGGCTAGTTTTTGTGTTGTGTATGTTCCTATGTACTTGTTGTACTTATATAAAGTATTTACGCCTTATTGGCCTTGGGTAAAATATTAATCCTCACTACTTTACCAACCTGTAGGCTTTGTAGAACAACATCGACCATTTGCTTCTTCCATGTCTCATATCAATCATAATAAGAAGGCAACAACAATCATAACATAGTCATGGCAAAGTTTTAGGTTGAACATCTACAAGTTGTATTTATGTATTATACTGTTTTGCTGCAGAACGCTCGTCAAACCTCTCTTCATGTGTACTAAAGAGATAAACAGAATAAATAAAACTCTGTCTATCGAATAATGGTATTTCATGTTTTCTTAAAGTGGGCGCCGGCTGGCTGATCAGGACCAAGGGTGTCTGCCATCACCTTCTCAGCAGTAGCGGCAGCCGACCGGAAAGGATTATTTCGGGCTTGCGCCTTCACTCGGCAACAGTTGATAATTGAATCAACTCGAGAAGATTTTATCATTACTCAATGGGTGGCGGTGAAAGTATTAGATAAGTTGATCTATTAATTCTTTTGTCAACCTGTTTTCTCACTCTCACGTCAGTCGGTACACAGGGAGTAGCGGGGTGATTGGATATCTTGATCTGACTCATGGTGACTTGTGATCTCACTGCTACACTGTACACAGTTGTTATATAGGGTAAAACAAACATTTTACATTATCTTGTTTTGCCTCTGTCATTGTGCTTAAGGAAACAAATACGGTAGGAGGGGAGCAGCTTATCTCCCTTTAAACACATTGAAAATAAATCCTTACATGTTGTCTGTAGATAAGGCAGACACTATGTCTGGAGTTATTTTCTGTCTGAAACCTTACTATGTCTGGAGTTGTGGTGTTGTGTGTAGATAAGGCAGACACTATATGTCTGGGGTTATTTTCTGTCTGAAACCTCAATGTGTCTAGAGTTGTGGTGTTGTGTGGTCCTGTGCACAGAACCCAGGTCACCAATCTCCGGACCTATCCCCTATCGAGCATGCTTTGGATGAAATGGAGCGACGTTTTCGTCAAGAAAAGAATCAGCCATTGCCGTTAGCTGAATTGGGACAAGCGTTGGTTCAGACATGGAATAACATTCCCCAAGCTTTCTCCAATCGCTTAGTGTCATTTATACATCGTCGTTTTCAAGCCTGCATCGACGCCAATGGTGGACACACACGATAATGGATTTTGAACACTTTGATGCCAGATCAAGGGCGTGTCAGGGCGGTGGGGTAGCCTAGTGGTTAAAGTGTCCGCTCGCCACACCTTAGAACCGGTTCGATTCCCCACATGGGTACAATGTGTGAAGACGATGTCGTATTGGCCACACTAGATATACGCATGAGTACCTATTAAAAGGTGAGGATCCTCCGTTTTGTATCCCTTTGTGATGAACGAATCACAGTCAAGCATGTCTTGCTTGACTGTGTTGAGTACTCCATCACAAGGGATATCTATTTCAAATCACGAACTATGAAGGATCTTTTACTAATATAAGTCATCATTTAATTATTGCTTTTTTAAAAAAGAATTAAATTTGTTAACAGATTTGTAAATAGCTAAATATTTTATGATTGGAAGTCTGAATTAGTAACATAGATTGTTAGTGGCTGTATCCTCGAGGGGTTAAAGTACTGTAAAATTATTGTCCTCCTGCGAGGGTACGTAAGTCCCAAAACATTCAAAGTAAATTTCAACTTTCCGTTTTTAATCGTAGAATATTTGTAATGTTAATGTATGGCTAGATATGTCTTAATTGCTAACGGCTGAGGGGATGATATAAATCCAGCTAGGGCCCATGCAGGTAGCAAATGTACTGTAAGTCCCCATGGTCCCTAGTATGGTGATCTACCTTCAGTTGTTGGCGATCTATAGCCCATTTTTAGATTGTGTTGTCCCCTATGGTTAAAATGTTTTAGATTCAATTACTAGTTTTACATATATATATCTGTGATACTCTAGTTGCTTTACTGTCCTTCGATGACAGGTTTTATAATATATACATATTCCATTACAATGTAAAATGTTCTCGTCACGATATGGCTGAAATATTGCCGATGTGACGTTAAATATTAACTCACTCACTCACTCACTCACAATGTGTGAAGCCCATTTCTGGTGTCCCCCACCGTGATATTGCTGGAATATAGTTTCAAGCGGTGTAAAACTAAACTCACTCACCACTCACTCACTCAAGGGATTATCACGATGCCTTGGGTCAAATCATACAATTTCGATATTATCCTTTCAACAGTTAAATAGTGATTTAAGTAAATTCCCACAAATCATGTAATTATGTTTTGCAATAAAAATGTCATAACATTAAATAGTGCATAGTTACATTATTCCAGCACTACTTGATATAGTTCAGTTTGAGTTTGAATTTCAGTTTGATACCTCATTGTGTCTAGCGAAGGCAGACCATCTATCTGGAGATACATTCTATTTGATACCTTATTGTGTCTAGCGAAGGCAGACCATCTATCTGGAGACACATTCTATTTAATAACCTCATTGTATCTAGCGAAGGCAGACCGTCTATCTGGAGACACATTCTATTTGATACCTTATTGTGTCTAGCGAAGGCAGACCATCTATCTGGAGACACATTCTACTTATTACCTTATTGTGTCTAGCGAAGGCAGACTGTCTATCTGGAGACACATTCTATTTGATACATTATTGTGTCTAGCGAAGGTAGACCGTCTATCTGGAGACACATTCTATTTGATACATCATTGTGTCTAGCGAAGGCAATCCGTCTATCTGGAGACACATTATATTTGATACCCTATTGTGTCTAGCGAAGGTAGACCGTCTATCTGGAAACACATTCTATTTGATACCTTAGACGGTCTGCCTTCGCTAGACAATATCTGGAGACACATTCTATTTGATACATCATTATGTCTAGCGAAGGCAATCCGTCTATCTGGAGACACATTATATTTGATACCCTAATATCTGCTCCTGATATAGTCTACCCGTGTAGACCCTGGTTAGAATGTGCCTTCGGTAACCCATGCTTGTCGTAATAGACCACTACCGGTCAGGCTCGCTGACTTGCTTGACACATGCCATCGGTTCCCAATTGCGCAGATTGATGCTCATGCTGTTGATCACTGGATTGTCTGGTCCAGACTCGATTATTTACAGACCGCCGCCATATAGCTGGAATATTGCTGAGTGCGGCGTAAAACTAAAACTCACTCACTGCACTCCTGATGTAGTCACAACTATACAATCGACACTTTTAGAAACGAGGAAGGAGTTTTGCCGCTTCTGTTTATAGTAGTACTTTTGCCGTACCACTATGTCTTGTAAACAATCATGTCTCACACAATCCAGTGATGGACAGGCAACCCACTGATGGACCAGCCAATCCAGTGATGGACAGGCAACCCACTGATGGACCAGCCAATCCAGTGATGCACCAGCCAGTCCAGAGATGGACCACACAATCCCATGATGGACCACACAATCCCGTAATGGACAGGCAACCCACTGATGGACCAGCCAATCTAGTGATGGACCACACAATCCAGTGATGGACCACACAATCCCGTGATGGACAGGCAACCCACTGATGGACCAGCCAATCCAGTGATGCACCAGCCAGTCCAGAGATGGACCACACAATCCCATGATGGACCACACAATCCCGTAATGGACAGGCAACCCACTGATGTACCAGCCAATCCAGTGATGGACCACACAATCCAGTGATGGACCACACAGTCCCGTGATGGACAGGCAACCCACTGATGGACCAGCCAATCCAGTGATGCACCAGCCAGTTCAGAGATGGGCCACACAATCCAGTAATGGACCACACAATCCCATGATGGACAATACAACGCAGTTCTTATTTTGTTGAAACTAATTCTATTTCTGAAGTTTGCCAGCTGTTTGCCAGTTCCCTTTTTTTGGCTGACAAGTAACGTGAAGTAACTATAGATGTAGATGAAACAGTATGAAATTTTCATGTGACCCCGTGTCGGGACGCACTGACCTTACGGGAGGAGGACATGACGTGTCACTTTTACAATAAAATCTAGGACCAGGCTGGGTCATCGTGACATAAAACATGACAACACGGTGACAATGGGACAATAGGTTAGAGGAGAGGAGGGTAATGGGGGTGGGGTACTTCTGGTCAAGTGTCTTGTTAATTTGCAACAGTCTTCCCAAACCATGCTGCATAGCTTTCAGTGACAAGTCATGTCATTGTCTATTGTCGAGTTTCGGTTGCAGTGTAGAGAATCTTCCTGTTTATTGTTGCTGTTTCAGTTCTGGGAAACCTGTGTGACTATCTAAGGGTAAACGTCACTTGAACACGTCTCTCACATGTGACACAAATATTATGCCCTTACTTTAGCAACTTCAACTGTAAACCGAAATATTCTTCTTGTCACATTAAATGGCACATTGAATGCTAGCACCTTATATACTGGAACATTAAATTCTGGCACTTTAAATACTGGCACAGTACAGACTGACATACTAAATAATGGCACATTAAATACCAGCACTTTAAATACTGACACATTAAATACTAGCACATTAAATACTAGCATATTAGATCCTAGCACTTTAAATACTAGCACATTAAATGCTAGCACATTAAATACTAGCACATTAAATACTAGCACTTTAAATACTGACACATTAAATACTCACAGCACATTAAATACTAGCACATTAGGATCCCAGCACTTTAAATACTAGCACATTAAATGAAATCACTTTAAATACTAGCACATTAAATACTAGCACATTAAGAACTAGCACATTAAATACTGACACATTAAAATGCTAGCACCTTAAATACTCTGCACATTGAATACTGGCACATTTATGCTAGCACCTTAAATACTAGCACATTAAATACTAGCACATTAAATACTGGCACATTAAATACCAGCACATTAAATACTAGCACATTAAATACTGGCAAATTAAATGCTAGCACTTTAAATACTAGCACATTAAATACTAGCACATTAAATGCTAGCCTTTAAATACTAGCACATTAAATACTGGCACATTAAATACTGGCACATTAAATACTAGCACAATAAATACTAGCACATTAAATACTGGCAAAATTAAATGCTAGCACTTTTAAATACTAGCACTTTAAATACAAGCACATTAAATAACAAGCACTTCAAATACAAGCACATTAAATGCTAGCACATTAAATACGAGCTCATTAAATACTATCACATTAAATACTGGCGCTTTAAATACTAGCACATTAAATACTAGCAAATTAAATACTCAGCACATTAAATACTGGCACATTAAATACCAGCACATTAAATACTAGCACATTAAATACTGGCACTTTAAATACTAGCACATTAAATACTACCACTTTAAATACTAGCACATTAAATACTAGCACATTAAATACTGGCAAAATTAAATGCTAGCACTTTTAAATACTAGCACTTTAAATACTATCACATTGAATACTAGCACATTAAATACTGGCAAATTAAATGCTAGCACTTTAAATACTGGCACTTTAAATACTGGCACAGTACAGACTGACATACTACCAAATAATGGCACATTAAATACCAGCACTTTAAATACAAGCACATTAAATACT